GCAGTTCACACACTAGTTTAATCTACTTTACTGCTATGTATAGCAACTTACAAGGGAAATTTAGATTTATAAAATCTAGAGCTGAAAAGTCCTGAAATCCAGGAATTCCTGAAATCTCCTCAAGTTATATTCTTGTCATGTGGGCAAAGGGTGAAATGTAAACTTCAAATATTTGACCAAATCTACTGGGGCAAAAAAATCTTTGAACTAGCTAAAGGAAAATACTGAGAGTAAAAAAAAGAAAAAAAAATGTTAAAATAAAACGGTGGTATGACTTGGAAAACTGAAAAAAAAAAATCTGTAAATGTTTAGATTTAATTTTAACTTTTCTTTCTTTCTTTTGACATTTTTGGACCACCTCCACAATGAACTAAAAGGTCAGACTTCACAAAGCAGCTTCCTAAAAGGTTTTGGCTGAATATATTGCCTGCTTCTAGTCACATGCCTGATCAACAGTGTATCACTTTTAATTTAACTGACTCATGTATTCTTCCACCTCAATCTTTAGGATGTGGAAAAAGAATTTAGACACTTCCCTTAATGTCTGAGCCTTAGTCTGTCTTTGTCGGGGCAATGTTTTCTGCAAGTTGCTTGGCATGTTCAGGTGTAGGGTCTGTCCCTCTAGCTAGTTTCCCCCAGCCCATAATCCCTGTGCCATGGGACACAGTGACTATTTACACGCTCAAGCCATGTCTACAACTCATCAGGTGAGACGAACAGCACATGAAGTTTTCGTTGCTTTTCAGGGCTTGCCATTGCAGCAACGACGTGTGAATCAAAAATCTCCTCTGTAGACATGGAGCTATGGTAGTTGTTGTTAAACTCTAGTCCAGATTTAGAAGGATAAATTACGTCAGGCTAAGCATGGATCGTAGCTGTGAAAAAATCCGAATCGCATGCACAGAGCACAGTTGACAATGACTTGTTGAAACTCAAGAGGAAATTCAAGTGGGAAATGCACAGTTTGGACTACAGAAAAATAGAAAGGAAATGATAAATGACTCCTGTCATATTTATAAAAAAATCTCAGAAAAAAATACACTTCTGCATGTTGTCTTATTTTCTCTTCTCTCTTTTGATTAAAAGAGAACAGCTTAGAATGTTGTATATTTATCTCCCTATTTGTTCGGGGCCTTTGTGGATCTCTGTTCTGGGTTAGGACTCCACTAGGATTATTGCGTGGCTAACAGGTCTCCCAGTTATTAAATTTAAGCTGTAGTTTCCACTATAAAACTTAATTTTTCATTGCTTAAAAATATGGAACTTGTTGCTCTGGAAAGATCTTTGCTTGTCTGTTCTCAGGCTATGTATTCTTGACTTGGGATACCCGATGCTCTCCAGTGTTGTCAGAAATATCTGTAAAACCCACTGGTAAGATGCCCCTTACCCCTTCAGTTCTGCTCCAGGAAGGAATAACAATGGCCTGCTGCCATCAGCTCCCTGTCCAGTTCTGGCAATGGTGGTTGCGAACAATTTTCATGATCGTGCTTTCATGAGGTTAAGCAGTGAGACTGATTTTTTTCAGTGTTTCTGTTGTAAAATGAAAGAACATTCTCTACCCAATTTTACTAGTAGTGAAAAATGCATCCACACAGAAGAAAACAACCATTTCCTAAATTTTCACGAACTGTATTTTTTCTATTATTTTTAATTAATCTCCCAAACATGACCATTGCTTCTCTGAAGGAAAAAAAAAAGATCTTGTGGAAAACATATGTAGTGATCATGTAATTATCAAATCTTAAGTCGCAATGCACAAATTTCCGTAGGCCTTCAAATTCTAAGACGCTGTCTGTGTAAGCTGTAATGATACTGTTTTAACGCAGGGGCTGCACGTCATCAAATGTTTACAGTAAAACAGATAAGATGGGCAATGGAGCTTATGTTATGACTTGCCTCATGTTTCACCCCTTCAGCTTTAGTTCCTATACTGCTTTATCCCTTACAGAGCTATATTAAGAATGGTTAAAAATGGTTTTATGTTTCTACCCTGATAGTTGCAAGTGAATATTTATCCATTTTTCTGATCATAAGGCTGAAAAATAAATGGAGGAACATACTTATGAATACCAAAGGACAATAGTTCTCTAAATTTCAGCAAAACATCAAAGGTGCTGCTACAGAAAATTCACATGACTGAAACAAAAACACCAACAGAAATAAACCTTAAGCAACCAAAAAGCTGATACCAATGACAGAGCCACTATTTCAACGGAACTATTTGAAATTCTGAACAAAATGCTAAACACTATTGATTTGAAGATGATGAACATTTGAAATCCCAGCTGTGTTCCATAGAAACCATACTGCCAATTCATAGTGATTTCTACGTTTCAGGAAAAAAAGATGACAGTGCGGTTATGCTTTGTTGAGCATAATCTGTCAAGCAGTGCTGGTGGAAAGGCTACATGACTTTTGTTGGTAGTAACACTATGGCATATTTACACTCCTTCCATCAGCTGGATTTCAAGGGCACTTTTATTGATGTCATTTACACAGGGCAGTCAAAACATTAGACTGCCAAGAATCTGAACATTTTTTAAGAGGTCTGTCTTATAAATGTTTTATAGACAAATTATAGATTGGAGGCGAGTATTAACCTTTTTGAGTCTTGTAGGATTTGGGCCACTGACTTCAAGCAGAGCCACAATGTCACTGAGACCATTCAAACACTCTTCTCTGCTCTAACCCTGACAATAACCAACAAAACGGCAGCAGACAGCCAGTCCTGCCAGGGACAGACTGTCCCGTTGGTCAGGATATATATCACCTTCTTTGCTGGCAGGTAAGGATGCTCCTTCATGTTTCTGTTTTCCCTGCTGGCACCGTTGTCCAAATCAAGCAGCCTTGCCTGTTTTGGGCATCCAGGTGTGAGGCTCGCATTTTGCTTCTGTATCATCAGTATCCCCTTAAATTTGTGGCTGACTCAGGTAAGTGTTCTTCTTGTAGGCCTCTGATTTACTTCTATTTTAGAAGATACTTTCTCTCCCACACTTCTACAATTTGACCACAGTCGTTCCTCATTTTCCACACTGATTTACTACTGTTGTGGCTGCTGACACCTCCTGATGTTTCTACACCCTGAGTAGCCAGAACTGCTCACAGCTAAGATGACTGCTGTGGCTGTAAGTGGTACCCTGCAGGGGTTTCCAGGGTTCGTTAATGAGATTACATTTACAATTGTGGTACACACTGGTAGTTTTTCTTGTAAACACACTTCATCTCTGAAGCTGTCCTTGCCATTTGCTGTTCCTACTTGCAGTATGAAATAAGATGATATGGATTGGTAAGAGAGCAGCTTGCAGCATGTGTCTTTTTTCTGCATTTCTCTTTAGACATTTTTTCTGTGCGCTTTTTAAATGCTCAGGTTGTCCCAAAAAGAGGGTTCTTCACCCAGTGTGCAAAGAGCCAACTAACAGACAGAGTCAAGATATTTGTATTTATTACAGTTCTGTGCAGAAAAGGGTGCTAGGCATCCAAAGTGTCCAGTTCACTGACTTACAAACACACACCACATTTATTTGATTCTGAACACAGAAACGCGTGCCTCTATACATAACTATTGGTTATTATTTTATCACAATTTCAACTATTGGTTAGTTTTATTCCTCACTGTCGTGGTTTGGGCCTCTTCGTCAGCCAACCGCCACGCAGCAGCTCTCTCTCCCTTCTCTTCCGGCAATAAGAAGGGACAGAGAGCCAGGCTTGGGGTTCGAGATAGGACTGGGGGGGGAAAAAATTCCCCTTTATGGTCACGAGCAAAAGGCAGACTCGTTAGGGGAAGAAAAAAAGAACATACATTTGTTACAGAAATTAACAACAACACTCAACATAGTAGGACAGCGAGAAACCTTACCACATCTTGAGAACACCTTCCCCCCACCCTCCCTTCTTCCCAGGCTCAGCTCTGCTCCCGATATCTCTACCTCCTCCCCCAGTGGCTCAGGGGCAGGGAATGGGGGTTGCAGTTAGTGCTGTCACTTCTTCCACCTTTGGTGGGGGGAGCTTCTGGAACTTGTTCCCCTGCTCCATCATGGTCCCCCTCTCACAGGAGACAGTCCTCCACAAACTTTCTCCGACTTGAATTCCTCCCATGGGCTGCAGCGTTCCCCACACTGCTCCGTCATGGGTCACTAACTTCCTCCGACTGGATTCTCTCCCACGGCTGCAGCCCTTCCCGAGCTGCTCCGGCATGGGACTCCCCTGCATGCTGCAATCCTCCCAGTGCTGAATTACAGCAGGTGGCTGCTTTTTCCCACAAGACCCCGGCCTTCTTCGGGCACAGAACCTTGATCAATCAGGCAGAAACCACAGGCCATAAATCAATGTCTGCCACCGTAGATTCCATGGGTGACAGGGTAGGCCGCCCTGCCATCTCACCACAGGATACAGGGGGGTCTCTGCTCCGGCACTCCTCCCCCTCCTTTCTTCCTCCATTCCTCCACTGAACTTGGTGTTCACACAGCTGCAGCAACTCCTCCTCACCAGTTCAACTGCTTGTCACCACATCCCTTCTTAAATACATTGTCGCAGAGGCACAGCTGATGGGCTCAGTTTCCCAACAGCGGTGGAGCTGACTTGGAGCTGGGGAGCTTCTAGAAGCTTCTCATA